TACCATGTAATGTAGTTTTGTACAACATTGGTTTCCAGTCCCACTTCCTGGTACTCCTGTGTCTGCTGGTTTTCATTCCATTTCAACTCTAAATTGCTGGGGCTAAGGGATCCCTTTAGTTGATCTGCTTGCTTGTTTAGGCTTTTGGTTCACTTGTCTCTAGTTTAAAAAGTACCCGTACTTAAATGGTACCGTTTCCAGCTTCTGCCACACGCAGACTGTGAGCAGTCTCTCTTGAACATGCTCAGCCTTATTTCTGGTGCAGTAGCCGTTGTTAGGTGATCATGAACATAAGCAGGAGGAGGTAGCAATACTCACTTCCACAGTGAGTTCTTCTTTCTGCAGAGGATCTGTTGGCTGTATTTAAGCTGTCATGTCTATATGCAGTTCGGAAACTCGGAAAATGGTCCAGGGTTGATACCCCTTAAGAATCCCATTTGCCCTTTTAAGAGCTAAAAGGAAATCTGAAAACATGCTTCATATAGAAAATAAAAATCAATTAGGCTGTGGTTAAGAACTTGGCACAAACTCAAATTAGAAACCAAAAGAGAAAGTGAATGCTCTGGACCAGGGTTTTTAACCACTACTCTTAAGATATATCTTAACATTAATCAGACGTGCCACAATGAGAGGGCTTTCTGACGATATAAATAGGAAATATCAAATGTGTGGCACTAAAAAGGTTAGTTGAGTCAAATTAAACTTTTCTAAGATGACATTTCGCCTCTAGATCTAAACTCAGTAAGCTCTTAGCAGTTACATTTGATTCACAACAGACTGCTGGGAGAATGTCTGCACAACACAAGTTTTTGCTCAAAGAAGAACAAGCCCTGAGTTTATTTTAAGGGAAGCAACCACAGGAAATGTCTGTGTCCAAGGTAATTAAGGATTTTTTTAATCGCAGTCATTTTTTTTCCCCAAAGTGTCCTGAAACACTTTGTATTTAGAAGAAGAGCCACTTTTACTCTCCCCACTGCACAACGGATCAGATGGAGAAAAGTTTCTCTGATCTTATTTTGGGGAAACTTAACACACCTACTGAAACCAACGGTCCCATGAGGTGTTTATTGATCAAGTAGTCAGGACCTCAGTTCAGCGTCTCATGTGAAGGATCACACTTCTGATTGTTTAGTTAATATAACGATAATATAATATAATGGTTTGGAGCTGTGGGAGTCTGGGACAGGCTTGTGTAAGAGATTTATTTTCAGTATTATCACCTTGGTTATCAAAAATGGCTACATTAGCTTTCATTAGTATTGATCTCTTTCCATGCATGTCCCAACTAAGACAATGTAACCCTGATGCCTGTCCGATGTAACAAATTATTTTAGTGCAGGCTAAACAGTATCGCATAGAACATGTAAAAAATCTGTTTACCATCTGCTTGCTCTCAGACCTGTCTACAGTGTTCGGATTTCTTAGAAACCTTTTATAGAATCCTCAGGATTTTGCATACAGAGGTTCCCTCTCTTCCTATTGGGTGATTCTCCTCCTGTCTGATGTTTGTGTCCAGTCTTAAATACGCTTTCCAAAAGGAGCTGGCAGGCTGACAGGCAAACTGCAAGTGCAACATTCATGACTGTGTTGGAAAACTAATCAGAAGCTTTACGTTTTATTAAACTCCGTATTTAGGCTATAAAAGGAACAAGTAAAGGTTTATTCCATGCTGAAAAGAGAGGAAGAGAAACACAACGTTTCGGCTGAGGAGCCTTCTTCGGGTCTTCTTCAAAGAAGAAACGTTGTGTTTCTCTTCCTTTCTTTCCAGCATGGAATAAACCTTTACTTGTGGCTTTGCAGCCTATGCATGCTGATGCAGCTATCTACTCGAACATATTTAGGCTATCGTTGTTTAGGTAGTTATTGTATTTGAATAATTGTTGCAAACATTATTAGTTCCCTTGTATGTGGGTCGGGTTGCCGCCTCACAGAGCTGGGGCCCTGGGTTCAGTTCTTGTGCTGCTACCTGCTATCTGTCCCACAGTCCAAAGACATACTGGCAGGTTAATTGGCTTCTGGGAAGATTGGCCCTGGTGTGAGTCCAGGCTTGTTTGTATCTAGGTGTTAGTATTTGTGACGGATTGGCATCCCGTCTAGGGTGTACCCATTGCTTGCTTTGATAGGCTCTACTTCCCTGCTACTCTGTGTTGGAAGCCAGAATTCATTGAAGTGGTAGATAAATGGATGGATTGGTTTGCATAAAAGGCCCACTAGTATATAGTCTACATTAGTGTATAAAAAGACATGTCTTTTTAGATTAATGATTTGTGTGTATGTCTTAATTGATTGTGTGGTATATGGTTAATTGACTAATTGACTATATGATTGTTTAATTGGAAAATTATCTTAATGTGCTGCGTTAACAGCTAATTATTGTTAGGTGACATGAGACTTAAGTTAAACGTGTAGCTCCTGATGAAATATTTTTTTTTGCTGAAATGTTGATAGATTAAAATGTTGTAATCGAGCATAGAGTGTACTTCCTGCTTTTTCAACTATTTCTGGTTTTCATTGGACAGCACATTATTAACTTTTGGTTTGTTTTCTTATTTCTGCATTTTGGAAAGCAGTCAGAATTAACAGGGAGAAATATTTTTCCTGTTAATAATTTTGTGAATTTGTTGTAGTAGTACAGTAAGTGATACGTTTATTTAACATCTTCAGGCTCCACAATTGTAAAAGAGCCTTAAATTATAATGGATTTTTCCCCATACTTTCTAAATTGGTAGTGTGCAGGTTAACGTGTCATAGGAATACTCAGGCTTTGCTTCATCTGAACAGAAAATACCTTTCTGGGGTCACCTAGATGATTAGATATCTAAAATAGCATTCAAATGAAAAAGAACAGACATTAATCCAGAAAATGTGCATTTAAATTGCAAGTGGCTAGCAGGACACAGTGATCTGTATATGCTGAAGGAATGAACAGACCAAGACCCCTGGTTTAAAGCTAGATGGCTGCCTGTCTGTGGCAGAGGTTTTTGTAATCTACAAAAAAGATATGCATTACCGGCAAAATATAGAAATTGTCAATAAAAGAGGGTAACAGTTTTG